AATGTCAAATTATGATATCAAGTGAATATTCGTGTGTTGATATTCTATACTACTCAATTTCATTTATCTTGAATGAAATATAATATACCCATTTATATCTTCTAAATTAATTTATAATTATTAATAAGTAACATTAATTATATCCATCCATTATTGATGTTTTCATCTAATTTTATCTGTTTTTTTTTTGATAACAGTTATTATATTTTAACCATTAAATCTATTATTGTCATAAAATCAAATAAATATTTTGTTATTACTATAGACTTTTACTTTGATAATTTCTTTCCCTACTTTTTTCAAAATCACATCATAATTTTCTCAAGATTTTGATTATAATTTTTTTAAAGATTATTACTATAAATTATTTTATAAATATTAATAGTCAATAAAAGTTATTTTATTTTTATCTTCTCTCTCGTATCAAATATTTCGTATCAACGTGTGACCATTCGGTTTGCTTGATTTTTTTTTATAATTAAGATTTTTTTTTGTTTTAAAAAATTAAGATGATAACTACTAGTATCCATTAATGTTTAAATATATATATAGCATTTGCTTTAGTTATTTTTTTTTATAATAATTTTATAAATTTAATGTCTAATACTAGTACTAAGTAGTAATAACAAATAGTATCCATTAATGCTTTTTTTGCAATGCTAAATATATTAATTACTAGTCTTTGGTATTTTTTTTACCATAATTAATTAATAATATTACTTAATAATAATAATTAATTTTATTCAACGAGAAGGAATCAGAATAACAGTTAGGTCATGTTTGAGAAAATCTTAATTATATAATAAAGCTTGACAAAAAAATGTAATGCACTAACAAATACTATGATTATAATTCTAAAATTATCATTATAATAAATCATTATAATAAATTGTTTTTTTTTAAAAAAAAAATAATAATATTATGTTTTGATGGAAAGTAATAATAGATCTACGTCATCCAATTGCAGTATATTGCCATTGTATTTGAGAAAGAACCTTAAGGATGTCGCCATTGTTTCTGAGTAGAACCTCAAAATAGACTCATATGACGATCGAGTTTTAAAAATTTTAATAAACTACCATTAGTAAATATATTGTAATCTATTAATATTTGTTGTCTTTGATCTATTGATCTACCAAACACAAATTGTAAGTCTATGCTATAGGTATCAGTAAAGTATAATTAATAAATTTAATCAGTATCGCAACAATTTCTTTTGGAAATTTTTTGATTATACTATAATGAATTGGTGTTTCCGAGGTATTGTTGTCAATAATAATTGGCTTATATATTCGGTGTATAACCGCTTCCCATCTTGATGTGAAACCAGTTGGTTTGTTCTTATTAATTCCAGCCACCTTTCAAAATTTACCACTCCTATTTTTTTGCGGTAAAGAGGTAGGGACCAAAAATCTTGATTGTATTATTTGTTTGAAAAAAAAAATTTCAGATTTTTTATGCCCAAGTTCCTCAATGATTATTGTAAAAATATAAAATTTTTTCACAAGCTTTATACCAGTATGTTACAAATAAATTTCATATTATAGATCCATTGTATTAATGACAAAATGAGTCTTTTATATGTTTTTTAATAAATTTTAATATATTTTAACACTATCCGTAAATTTAATGGAATCTTTTTTTTAAAAAAAAATATTTATCAGTATTTGTCAGCTTTTTGCAAAATCATAGCTATACTTAATACTGTTTTTTTTTTACTTGAATAGATTATATTAATAATACTATTAAATTAATTTTCATATAAGTAATTGATAAAACTTTTGTTGAAAGTTTTTTGTATGAATGTTGTATTGTTTGAATACTTTACTGCTAAACTATGAAAAGATATTACTGCTCAAAGGGTATTATTCCATTATATCATTACTTTCTACAGATTATTCTTCTATGCATTTGAATACTTCGAAAATTCTTTTGCAAATAATTACTCTCTTATGTCTGATGTTACTGTAATTTCCTTTGGGTAAAATGATCGCTCAATGACTTATTAACTTATTTAAATTAAATTTTTTTTAATTTTTTTTATATAAGAGTAAAAAAGATATTTCAATGAGATATAATATTAATAAAAGGACACTATTGATCCCAATATTTACGCTTGCCAATCTAAACATGCAAATTCTTGTAAAGCATAAGAGAAAAAATGATGTCTAAATTCCGCCCAATAGTGATGTTCACTACTGTTTAAGGCATTATAAAAAAATTTGTTTAGATATATAATAAACTTTATTATAATTATTTTATTTGCAAATTTAAATTATTTTTAATATAAAAATATAAATCATATTATTATATTTTCAATGAATATGGCAAATTGCTTTCAGTCTACTTCTATGGCTACTTCTATGAAGAAACTACTCCTAAGTCTACCTATTCGTCTCCTGTGACTCAGTTACTGTTACTATTCAGCTTCTGTTAGAACAGAAATATAGAGTATTTTTTGTACTGGTAAGTTTCTTGACCTGAGTTTGAGTTGTATGTATATTTCTGATTTTGAAATAAATTATATTTGTTTTTTATTCATGTATGTATGATATATAAATTTGGTTTATACATAATACTTATAAATCTAACATATAAGTTATAGATTTTTATTATAATATGTTGTAAGCATAATAATTATTCTAAAATATAATTAAATAATAATAAAGTATTTTAATAATATTTATTAAATTATAATTTATTTGTATCGAAAATTTTAAACTTTGAAGTTTATAATTATTAATAATTATTAATTTATATTATCTTCTATTTATATATTTAAGGTCATCATTAATTAATTTTAATTAATTTATTAAATAGAAGAATTGCGAATAAACGAATATTAATCTTTTATTAAATAAAAGGGCTGAGACCTGTAGATGAAAAGTGGAGGTATCTACTTTTTCTAATAAAGGTCAATAGCTATAATTACTTTCGTCATCTTTTTTTTTTTGTCCTACTACAAGTGTTTGTACATTCCTACAATAGTCTTCATAAATTTGACCAATAAAGTAATTTGTAGTTTTACAGTTTTTTTTTAATGTATCGTTTTTTAACGTTCTTTTTATTTCTTTTTTATTATATGATATGTAAAATCAGGACGTTGTTAAGTGGACATGTCCATGATAATATTAAACTTTTTTAAATTATAAATGAATAAAAAGTGTCCATATGTTTAGCCATATGTCTATTGTGTCTTTTGCAGTAATGCAAATTTTCTATCTAATAAGTTATTTTATATAAATTTTATTTATGATGTTAAAAGCATAGTATATATATATATAAGCTTTACTATATATATAAAATATTTGCTTTTTATTAGAAAGATTTTTTTTTTTTTTAAATAGACAAATCAGATTACTTCATATAAGTCAAAAAAGTCAAAATAAATTAAATTTTCTATAGTTGTTCAAATTTCATATTATATAGAAATTTTGAATAGTCTGTGTTGTTTGTGTTGCTAAATTTTAGCTGATATACCTTTCTCCTTGACTCTGCTTCTTTGAGGATATATATTTTGCCGTTGTTCTAACAATGGTACAATGGTATAAGCACGTTCCATAAATATATTATATAATAGTGTAATTATAGATAGAAAAAATTGGAATATTACAAATGAATATATTTGAATTTTATTTATTTAGATCTAATTTAATATTATAAATAATAGAGTATAAACTTATGTTGATGTATGTTAATCTAGTTAATAAAAATTTAGATAATGTGCGTGTGTTAGATTTATTGGAATAAAGAAGTATTTAATAATAATATGTCTTCTTGATATTCGTCGTTGCATCGATAAGAGAGACTAGTAATAATTAAAAATATATATATTTTTTTTTAATATGTCTATGTAACGAAGCTTCCACTGTCTCCAGGGAGAGTATTTTTAATATGAAGGTATGGAGATTTTCTTTATTAATATTATTATTTTTTTGATCTACTGTATGTTAACAAAACTTCGTTAAATAATAAAATTATTTATTATTATTTTTTGATCTATATATATATGGATAATGACCATCTTCATAATAATATGGGACTAGAAAATAAAAATAATTTTTTTTTTTTTTTAATATATGGAAATTTTATTTTAATAAGAGAAAGTAGAGAAGTTTTCTTTATTAATATTATATTTATAGAATATGAAAAAAAAAAACTTCGTAAATAATAAAAATTATTCATTATTATTTTTTTTTGATCTACTGTATGTATATTTTTTTTATGATTAATGAATCTAATTTAAAGAATCTAGAAGTTTCTATAGATTAATTATATATATATATTAAATTTTTTCGATCCTATATTCAGTAGAAAAATGAAATGTTTTAATTTGTTTGTTTGTTATTTTGTAACAATCATTTTTGATCTTTTTTTATTATATATTCAAGATTATTCAAGATTAATTTCTTGATTTAATAATTTGTTGTACGAATTTAACAAAGCCACCCTTGAGATTTTCAGGCTTAGAAATTTTTTTTTGAACTAAAAAATCAATTATTTCAACATAGAATTACTGTATTACTAGAAAAAGAAATTCTTTTCTTTTTTTAAAAAAAAGCATATTTATGTGATGGAGTTTTGTTGTTGTTTTGATTCTTTTTTT